TATTGAAATATAAGAATAGCAATGAAGTGGACCATATGCTAAGTCGCAGGTCAAAAAATGGCACATGAGCCTGATATAAATTTCTTATTGTAGATTCAACATTTTATCACAATCTAAAGATGATAGTAACCTGAAGAAAATGAACTTGTTAAATTCAACATTTATTCTCCAAAATCAAGACCATTGGATTGATACACCAAACACATTGGTGGAATAAAAGGCAAAAAAAAAAAAGGTAGATTGATTTTTTTTTTAATTCTTATAATTTAATTCTCTTCAAGTTCTGATACAGAAATGCAATTTTATATGTTTAGTCTGTTTCTTTACTTTTTCACAATAATATTTATAATAAAATAATGTTGCAGTTATGTTACAGAACCATTCTGTCGGGATTTGTAACCGTTAGATCATCATGTAAGGGTCGGATAGTTGACTAACGGTTACAAAACCCGACGAAATGGTTACGTAATAATCTCCTCAAAATAATACTCAGGATTTAGCTGGTTATGGTTATCCTCAGGGCTGTGTGCCATAAAGTGTGACTGGCACTTTGACTATGAAGGTGCCAAAATGCACCTTTACACAACCTTAATTTGCAATACAGGTAAGATGAAATAAGAAAAACACAGATCACATATCTTAATGTATTGCATAAATGAACAACAAAATGTCTATACTTTCCACGACAAAATTACACTCCATTTTCAAATCTCACCACCATTTTTTTCTTCCTCCTCTCGTGACCTCAATCCTCTTTACTTTATCAATAATTTGGTCAATAAACTCTCAATTGCCCCAAAAACAGAATAACAACACAACCACAAACCAAAAAGAAGCCCCAATTTCTCCACTTTATCACTTGCTCCAAGGTCTATTATAATCACAATTCACACCCTTTTTTCCTCAAAACAGGGCCCAACAAAATGCTTAAAATTTAATCCCACATTTTAAGGTGTCACAATTTTTTTTTTTTTTTTTAATATAAATTATTTTTCCCATACTAAAAAATGTAAGAAAAAAAAAAAAAAAAAAAACTATTCTAAACCCACTAAAGTAACCTATCAGACAAGCCCGGAAGCCTCCTGAAAAAACTCAAGCTCGCCGGCGGCATGGGGTCCCGGAACATGGGGTGCCGGAGAAAGTAAAAACCGAGCGCCACGGCCACCATCTTAGGCGGCACCGCGTACAAAACTATCGTGATCACGAGACAAATCCCTATGAACAACTTCGTCGCCCGTGGGTCCCGCCAGCTCACGAGGGCTTGGACCCTCTCCCCTTGCGTCGCGAAATCTCCCAACACCGTTTGAACCCTTGCTGCCAAAATCCTCAACCTATCGTACCTAACCCGAACGACCTCCGGCGGCCTTGAGCTCGGGAAAGTGTCGAACTCCTCATCTAGCTCGTCCGGGTCGACCGAGTCCGCCTGAGACAGCTTCACGTCGACACCCGCAGGTACTTTCGGCTTGAAACGATAGTACCACACGCCTATTAAGAACACATATAGAAAGCCGGTCGGCACGATTAAGTCCGGGTACCAAACGAGGACCAAATATAGAATGTGGAACAATATAGTCGTGATCGGGTTCCTCCACTTCCGAATACGGTCCAACCACTTGGCGAGCCCCACGGCCCAAGCAAGCACGGCTACAATCCGGTACCAATTCGCCTTGCTCTTCCTCAAGCTCCAATTGTGAGAATCCGAGTCCAACATGTATTGGACGACCTCCGATCCGAGTGGCGGCTCGGATCTCGCCAGCCAAGCCGCCACAATTCGGGCGGCTGCCCCGCGAAGGGCCTCCTGTTGGGAGACCCCAAACGGGCGAAGATAGTGCATACGTGGCAACAACGGCTGCCCGTACACTCCGCATGTGTCGGGCAGTAACGACGGGCAGGCGAACCGGATCGCCAGCTCGATTTCGCCCATTTTCTTGAGCCCGCCACGAAACAACACCATCAACGGGTACGAACTCATGTATACCTTATTAGTATCTAAAGTCGAGACTCGTATCCGAACTTTCCCGATTCGCGTGTCGGGCCTTTCCTTGTCCCCTTCAGCGAACATGTGCCAGTTGTCGAACACGCCCACAGTAAGAACCGTGCACGGGTCGTACACCTGCCACGTGTACTGCTCGTTCCACCTTGGGTCGAAGCTATCGATCACAGTTCGGGTTCGAACCCATTTCTTCCCGTACTTGGCGACGCAATAAGCATCCGTGGACCCTTTTCCCGGGCCCTTGGATTTCATCGGGAGCAAGCCTCGGGCTCCGAGAATCCCGAGCTCCAAAATCCCAACTGGAGGTTTCCAAAGTTGTTTGGCCGTGGGCCGAAAATCGCTACAGAGGTGGGCCGCCTCATCGAGCACGTGGTACCCGCCCTCCAAACAGATCCTCAAATGGAGCCGACCGCAATAGGACCCGTTTGGGCCAGGCCCGCCTTCCAGCCCGTACCACTTGGCAGCCACGTGCCGCTCGTCGAGGCGCTGCTCCACGGAGCCCACGGGGATTATGGCGTGGCCAAGTAGCACCGGATCTTTCCCCGTGCGGTCCTCCACCAGCAGGATTAAGTTGTCCTCGAGAGGCTCGCCAGCGACGAAAATCAAATCCTCATTCCAGTGGAAGGCGGAGGTTTGGTGGCTCATGGACCCGCGCCGGGTCCGAACCGATTGGAACCCGAGTTGACCCTTCACCCGGATTTCAGGGGCGGTCAGCGGCGGCAGATTGGGGATTATGTGCAGATCCTGGGCTTCGATGACGGTGAGCCTGAGGTACCAGAGCTTAGGCGCCTGGTACACCTTGGGGCGCGTGTAGACCACGAAGGGCTGGGGAGCGTCGGAGCTCCACGACTCGGGGAACGCGTCGTCAGCCTGTGTGCCGATCCAGACCGACAGCTGGATGTCGCCGGAGACTCCACTGTGGTCGTCGCCGGAGGCGGGGGCTGCGCCGCCCTCAAGGTGGTACCACTGCGGGGCAAGGGGGCTGTCGGGCGGGTCCCGGACGGGGACGTCTGACAGGTCGAAGCAGACGCCGCCAAGAAATTTCTCAGACGGGCCGCCGTCCCAGACAGAGATCTCGAGGGTGGAGCTGGCGGAGGTCTCCTTGTTGTGGCCGATGGCGAACACCTGGTTCCATTCGGAGTTCGCCGACGCGTCGCCTCCTGGCGGGGTAGCCGCGGGCTTCGATTTGGCGAAGTGGCCGGAGGTGCGGATCTTCACGTGCGGGTTCTCGTTCGGGCCGAGCCCACGGGCCTTGACGATCCTCACGAAGAGGTACTGCATTGGCTCCACCAGATCGAATGCCTGGATCCTCTCCGACGCGTCCCCGGACAATTTCCCGGCGATTATCCTCGGCGAGTAGTCCCCGTTTGGTGGCGGCCTCCGCGCGACCCTCACCCTCTCCCCGGGCCCCATCGGCGGCCCGTTCAACCCGTTCCCCATTTGCATTCTCCTCACATCTGGAGAAAACATAGGCGGCCGCATGTTCTCCTGCGGCTGGGGGGCGTTCTCTGGAGGCGGCGGCTCGTGAGCCCTGACAAACGGCGGCGAGTGCTCGCGGGGCTCCACGGCTACATGGGCCGGCATCGGCATCGACATCGATGGCGGAGGCTCCTCCATAACCACCAGCACCGGCCGCTTCATCACCTCCTCCGGACCCAACGGCTTCTCCGGCTCCTGCTCCTGCGCTGGCGGACCCGGCGGCGGCTCCTCCTCCTGCTGTTGCTGCGGCGGCTCCTCGAAAGTCTCGTCATAATAATAAATCTTCAACCCCAATTCGCCCCTAATCCAGCTGAACACGCTCTTCTTCTCCAGCGTGAAATACACCAAACCCTCTTCCCCTCGCCGAGCAAACTGCGAGCCGTACAGCTTCACCCTCCCCAGAAAATGGTTCTTCCTCGCGTTTCCATTGCTGAGCTTCTTGTCGTTGAAAACCTCGATGTTGAGCTCCTCGAACTCCATGGTGTTGGGGTCGGTGACGATGAACTCCAGGGCCTCGTTCCATACCGGGTTCAGGTTCCTCTGCACGGTGGACGTCCGCCGCTTCTGGCCGTCGAAATCTGCCACCACGTACGGGCTCGAGCTGCCCTGCCCGTCCTTGGGGAGAAGGTCCCTGGCCTCGATTACCTCGACTATTAGTTTGCGGACGGCAGCGGAAGGCGGTGGCTGCGGCTGAGGCTGGTCGGACGGCGGCGGAGGGTTGTCGGAGGAGGTTGTCATGGTTTCATAATCACTTTTTCGAGATGGGTTTTTTTATGGGAAACGAATTTTTGTGT